AGGGGCGGGTGTGATACCCTCACATGCAACCATTCTGGTCTCATTCATTTGGAATTAGCTCAGACTTTTTCTTGATCATTTCAACTGCATATCCTCTCTCTCTGTGTTCGTTCAGTTATTTTGTGTCAGGTTGTGAGATTCAATTGTCCATCCGGTGCGTGAGGTCATCAGCGTGGTAAGTTCTGCGAGTTCCGCTTCGTCGCGGTGCTGGCGATGACTAGGAGAAGGGGAGGTGGAATGCGGGCCGTCGAGGCCTTCACGCTGTCCCTAGCTGTCGCATTCAATTTCTTTGAGCCTGCTAAGGCTGAGCTCAAGAACTGCACTTGCTCTGCGGTGTACTCGTTCGGGGACTCGCTGACGGACAATGGCAATGGTATCGCTACCTTTCCGGACCAGTTCATCGACTCTGAGACAAATCCTAATGGCTTTAATTTCCCGCATCATGCTGCTGATCGGTACTGTGATGGTCGGCTTCTGGTGGATTACGTTGGTAAGTTGCCTCTGGCTGCATTTTCCTTCTGAGCCTTCTTGGAGTATACTTAGATTGATCATGTCGGCTGTCTTTTCCGAAGGTCTTGTGATACGAACTTCTGTGGGGCTAGAAGTGATGTCTCGGGTAGCTTCAGATTGCATCGGAGTTTACTGTACACATCAATGGGAGAATATTGGTTTGTATGAAGTCCGTGGACTCACACCAGTGTGTCTTGAATGTATCGGATTGCCACCATGCGAACCGACCTGCTGATAATGATGTCTCTCTGCATGGGTCGTCGTGAGCAGCGTTTGGCATGGGAAGGAAGCCGAATTATGCGATCCTCAGAAGCATCGCTGCGGACTTCACATACGGCGCCAACTTTGCCGTTGCTGGAGCGACAGCACGCAACAATACCGAGTGGGTCCAGGAAACTGGGTTCAGCAGTCCGTTCTCCTTGAATGTCCAGGTATCTTGGCTGGAGCGCTACAAAGTTCGATTGCAGTTTTATTACGCACAAGTTGGTAAGTCTGGGGCAGAATACGCTCATATAAGCACCGGCTAAGCTGGTGCATTGTTGCTGCACTATTCTTTCGAGACGACCCTCTCAAGGCTTGATGTCTCTGAGCTGCAAAACACATTCTGCACGTTCAATTTTTCTACCGCATGGATATTCTAGATCTATAGACTTGGAAGGATGTAGAGCTGGAACGCAGCGAGTGCCACTGTTTCCTACGCTTTTCGAATGCTAACAACCCACGTCTGGTAACTCTTTCCTGAAGTGGCTTACGCTCGTAGGGGCACTGGTTCAAGGTTCTCACGCGAGTCTCAATGTCACTGTTAACAGAATTGAACAGCACTACACGCGGCGTCGTGTATCAGTCTCTGCCAGCCTCGGACTCCCTCAACACTTCGTTGTACTTCGTCTATGCTGGTTTTCAGGATTATTTTTTCCCCATGTATTACCAAACTATGACCCCGACGGAAGCTCTTGACATTGTGGATGCGGTGGTGGACTCCATCGTCGCGGCTATACAGGTACTTAGCATCCTCGTGAACTTGATATGGACAGGGCCGTGCGGACATCAAATTCTGGTTACTCAATGCTTTCGCTTCTTGATCTATTGTATGTATGTGACCAGCTTCTTGTGGTTCGCTCGTCTGGCGCTTACGTCAGTGCTACAGTGGATGTCATTAGTTTAGAAGCAGCATGAGTGCGAGAAAGTACATACAGACGCCTGTGTGATTTCAGTTAGTCAAGCAGTTCCGACTCCCTACAAGTTGCTCTGATTGTGGCATACTGGACATTTCCTTTCATTGGCCTGCCAATGATAACCCTAAACATAGATTTGCAACCCTGCTCCAATTGCTCAAGTATCTGTCTTGAATGCGACTGATTTTTCACCTGGAATCATGATTTTCACTGTGGATGCGATGCGCGTCTTCTAGCGAATCTACGCATTTGGTGCGAGGAGCATAATGATTGTGAACCTACCGCCCATGGGGTGCTTGCCGGCTCTGCTGACACTTTATGCCGACGAGGATTCTGAGAAATACGACACATATGGGTGTTTGGATAGTCCCAACAAGGTCAGCAACTCCCACAACACGCTGCTCGAAAGCCGCGTTGCCGACCTGCGCCACAATTACACAAATGCTACGTTCTACTACGCCGACTATTACAGCGTGTACAGAGACGTACTGAAATCCCCTACACTCTACGGTATGTAATCGTCGAACCATTCAACCCAACTTCGAGAGCGCAAACCCAGAACGAGGCCCAGTTACAGCCGCACATGCCCTAGAAGGAATTAGGTTGCAGCTATGGCGCAATACGTGGATTAGTATGAATACATAATCACAAACAGTTTGTATCTGAATTAATGTGAGCTACAGTTTTACGTGTAGATGATATAATGGCATAGAGATTAAGTGATCTGGTTTTTTTTCTCAGGAATATCCGAGTCAGACACGTTGACAGCATGCTGCGGTTATGGTGGCTCATACAACTTCAACGCAAGCTTGTTCTGTACACACTCGGGGATAATGAACGGTGGCATGGTCAATTTGTCCTATCCTTGTTCGAACTCTACATCGTATATAAATTGGGACGGAATCCATCCTACAGCGCAGATGAACTGGATAACGGCAACGTTGTTTTTGAATGGAACGCATATCACACCTGCCGGGGGTTTTAATTGCAGTGCCGACACCAGCAACTGGTACCTATCTCACGATTCTCTACAGCTAGTGTCCTGCATTGATGAAGTGCTTGAAGAATTGTCGAATTAGCATAATCCTAGCAACAGTTTCGTCAAGTTCGATGGATTTTGTGCCAACTAAATCAGCCGGTTAAGTCTGGTTCTTTCTTGTACGACCTCTAATCCTAAATGCAAGCCTTCATCCCCACTCCTGAATTGATCGGCATCGTGTTTGGATTCTGAGGAAGCAATGACGTACTTGCAGGTACAACTGATGTTCCACTTCAGACGAGCTGGAAGCTGAATACGCTGCTGGAACAGCAGGAATACGCTTCTACGGCAGTTCCATTTTTGTGTCTTCTATCCCTCGCTCCATCATCCTGTAGCTTACACTTGTCCCACCGAATCAACCCTCTCCTTGACAGTTGTCCGATCGATTGTCGTGGTGGTTGTGGGGTGGGCATTCTCTACTCTGCGTAGCTCTCGGCTTCATGATGTAGGTTAGACCGATAGATTTGATAAAGGGCATTGAAAAGATTAACTTCTTGTTTATCGGTAGTCTCGCCACCTCATTCTGGACTCCGAAATCTAGCACATGTGTTCTGGTAGGGACAAGGTTTCACCAATTGGTATTTGTACTTTTTAACAGCACCAGTACAAGCTGCCATAATACTGACTTGTACAAGGGGGATAACACTGCCTGCTGATCCCGATTGACGTGGCTAGCACGCTCTGTGTACCACTTCATTCACCCTTTAACTACAACAGCTGATCCATTTAAAATTTGCTGATGCACGTCGGCATGAATGCGCATTCTAAACCACTGTCTGAATTACATCGATTGTCGGAACTAACTTCTTGAAATGCAAGAGCATCCAATTGGTACAAGCGGATCGCTTGTAAACTTTAGGCCCTGCAATGAGTTCGACTGCACTCGGATTACTTGGAGACAACCAGCTTTCGGATCTTCTATGCAGACTGTGGTGGCCAAAATGAAAGCGGAGCTGAAGAGGTGCAGAACCATGCAGTCCTCCAAACTGGCTATCTCTGTAACAGAGTTACAAGCTTTTCTCTGGTTCAGCACCTAATCCTTTTAATCAGCTAGTAGATGGAAAAGAACATTGGAATCATCTTATCACAACTCTTATTATTTGAGATGGCGGTACCAGCACCATCCTGTGTTATCCTGCCACATAGTGCTGCTTGTGCTCTGCTGCGGAAGAAGTTTCCAACCGGGCGTTTCTTGCGGAATTCACCGCATTTGGATTAGGTTACATACTTTTACACGGACTTTGGGCACAGTTGGTTCCATGTTGGGCATAAGCTTAACTGATGAGAAAAACCATGCTTAGAGTAATTCTGTTCAAAACCCTGCTTTTTGACTCGTTGAATCTAATATCATTACAACCTGCAAGTAGCCAACCACTGACCTTTGTGAGGACATAACTGCACCTTCTTGACATCAACCAGATCATGGCACTTTCCACCATAGGTTATCTTCTACCGAACCATGACCCTACTATCCACTGAGAAGGGGAAAGAGCTTCTTACTTTGATCGAATGTGCATTCTGTTGCATACCAGATACTGAACTTGCAGGGGTAACTGAAGCACAGTCTTGTGAGGTTCAAGGGGGATAGGAAGGGGGGAGATTTCAGATGAATGCTTGCCTAATAGAATTCTGAGGGGCGACTTAATTTTCTCCAGCGATTGGTTTCTATCCAAGCATCAGACGATCCCAGTCGATGACCGTGTTGCATACTCTGCTACCAAGCCTGAGAAGAATGACGACTTGTCTTCCAGCAGCCTTTTGGGCTCGTCGTATTCGGACACCCTCCCTGCGTGCACAATCTTAGCATTCTCAGGGACAAGCAGTTGTTGCAAGAGCCAAAGCTAGTATTATTCAGCATGAGCGTGTTGAACTGTTTTTCTTTCCGTGCCTCATAGCAAACCGATCCTGAACGGCAACTCGAACTGGCAGTCGTGGACACCACTCACCATCACTGAGGACCAACACACGGTCACTGTCGATGACAGTCGGTATTCGATGTGCGATGGTCACCACGGTGCAGTTGCTGAATTCCACACGCAAAGTCTGCTGAATGAGGTTGTCCGTGGCTGTATCCACCGAAGCCGTTGCCTCGTCAAGCACAAGTATTCGTGTCCTCTTCAGCAAAGCACGTCCTAGGCACACCAGTTGCCTCTGCCCAACACTCCAGTTCTCGCCATTCTCTTCGACTGCATTCATCAACGGGCATGCACATGGAGTAGAGTCCGAGGAGAATTGATCCACGCAGCACCGGAGTACGGTACATTACAGTGCATGCATGCATCTGGACCACCGTCAAAAAGAAAGAGCCAACTTGCAACAATGCAGTCTGTTCGAGTGTGGGTTAAGCAATGCTGCGGCGGGATCGCTGGCAGGCGTTGGTGATAGCGGACGTGGAATGCTTGAACACTCCATACAGTATACCAGCATTGCAAGCACGACCACGCAGGTTTACATTACGACACTGACACTTCAATCCTCACCTAAAGAGCTCAGCTTTCCTTCTTTTCCTCGCACTGTATCTCCTAGTTTGCATTTGTCCAAAGCCTGTGGAGGTGCACGAGTTGTTAGACACGCCGGTGTTGTGGGTGGTTCGGACCGAAACTTGACACATTCAAATATTGATAGCTCTGTCCGTGTCCACATTATTGGGTGTTGTTTGTATGTTGATGTTTTGTTTTGCAACAGAAATTCTGTTTGTTAGTTTGCAAGGGAGTTCTGTTTATTCTTTGCTTTTGAATATCTGAGGGATTTCTACGGCACATTTTTTTTTTGTGGTGTCCGAAAAGAGCTTATGCTTCATATTGAATATTGTCAAGACAACTGGTGATGGGCATTTATGAAATGGATTTCAGATTACCTGCCAGACTTCAGCGTCAGAGTGCTCTCCTAGAGGATCTAGATTTGCACGCACACTGCCCTCGAACAATGTGGGGTCTTGAGGGATGATGCTCAGTCGGGAGCGCAAGTCATGCAACCCAATTGTAGAGATGTCAAGCCCGTCGATTATTATCCTTCCGGCCACAGGGTCTACCATACGAAATAGAGCCTGAATGAGCGTCGATTTTCCGCTTCCTGTGCGTCCTACTACTCCCACTTTCTTTCCACCCCAGAAAGTGCACGTGACGCCATGGAGGACCATTGGCAAATTCTCGCTGTACCGAACCTTCAATTTGGAATCTAGATGTTATATGAAGAGTTTATAGTATTCATGTACTGTTTGTATGAAAGAGTAGAGCATCTGTTGGGATGACAGTTTTTTTTTTTTTTTTTTTTTTTTTTTTTTTCTGAATGTGCATTTTTCTCTCCATGAATCAGTTGGCGATCCTTACTTGTAGGTTTTGTAGGATGATCATGCCCTCCGTAGGCCAGACTCTTGGCGGGCGGAATCCTCGGATAACTAAAGGTGGTTCAGGAGGAATTTTGGTGTATTGTTGTATCCTCTCTACCTTAATGATCTTGTTCTCGACGTCGCACAGGCACCACACCCACCACGATTGCTGACTGTTTAAGCTTAAACCGTATGTTACCGCAAGCCCGGCCAGCCCTACAGTTTGCAGCTCAAGTGAGACGTAGTCCGCCATAACACTGGATCAAGAAGGGCGTGTAGACGATAAGACCGAGACCCACTGAGATCTGATAGGGTTAGACATGAACAGCCAAACATGCATAGAAAAACTCTACCCCCTGCAAACCAATCGTAGGTTGCTGATGTCTCCTATTGCGTGGATATAATAGTGATTTATAAATTGTGATTCCTACCGATTAGGTTCACAACGCTCACCTGAATCGAGGCCTTTGGATGGGAACCAAATCACCAGCAGCATGCACGAGGAGAATACAAGCGTGGTAAGAAGCTCCATGCGAAATACTAGCCATTGAATGGCGGCCAAACTGTAGAAGGACGGGCGCATGTACTTGTCATAAAGCTCCACGTTAGAGGTCATGAAACGCTTCTCCTGACGAAATCCACGAATGGTGACGGCTCCAGCAATGGACTCTCCATAGTGATGAATGATTGGGGCATGCTGGATACTCTTCACTCTCTGCAGCTCTCTTGCTGATGCCATGTAATAACGCTACTTGCACAAAAAAACACATATTTTATTAGTACGTTTTCTGTTGACAGCTCTGCACCTAAGATTGCAAAAATTGACTTCTTTGTAGAAATAGAAAACATGCATGCAACCTCAAATATGGAATAGATATTTATACCTGCATTGAAATGCATGCCACGAAAACTGGTGCAAATAGAAGAAGAATCTCCAAACCCACTTGCGACATTACTATCAACGTCCCCACAAGTGACACCGTAGTCACCATGAATCCATTGAATTTGTGATAAACCTCCCAATCGAGCTCACTTTGGTCTGAGGATGTCTGCTCTACCGAAACAAGTACCACTTCGTTATGATGCAAACGTGGCAGTTGATATGAGTATTTAGATAAAAAGAGAGGTTAGATATACTCTAAAGTTAGATATGAATTGACAGGTAACATTTACCTGTCAATCAAATCCAGAACAGTACAACTTAATGATTTGAAGTTTTGTAAAGAGTTGTTTGTACCCGATTGAGTATGCGTCCGGCTGGGGTCGAATCAAAGAAGGACATAGGGGCACGAAATAGACAGCGCATCATGCTCAAAAAGTACTGCTGAGCCGTCCTCAGTCCTACATACTCAACCAACAGCGAACGAACTATGATAAAAAAGGTGCTTCCGAACGCCAGCCCTGTGTAGACGGATATCAGGTTCAATGGGCTAGGACTCTTTCGTCCTTGCTTCGGAGAAGTTGCCCAAGCCATCCAATAGTTGCTCAATATTTGACATGTCTGACAGCATTCCAGGTCCCTCGTCCAGAATATCAGCACTATGGATTGAAGGTTGTGGTAAAAACCATGATGATTGTAGATTATTAATCGCACATTCTCTCACAAGCTCAAAGGAATACTCTGACTAGAAAAATCAACGTTCTTCTGCTTCACAATAATTAGGAAAGACTGGACATACCACGAAACAGCATTGGGCAACACAAGCCAAAATCACGAGCAAGCCTCCGCATACGCAAGTGATGTAGGACCAATACACAGCAAATGCTACTTTGCCTCGCTCCCTCTCCTCGTCTTGCACGAGTTGAAATTTCTGGTCGTTGTCATCAACCTTCATATTTTTGGGAGTCAGCAATGGATTGCCATCTTTCAATATTTCTTTTTCTTTCACTGTGAGGTGGTTCCGATTGTTTTCAGAATCTGCAACAGCATTATTCTTGGATGCAGTATTGATACTCGAGATAGCCTCTTGGTGCGCGTGAATCATAGCGCTGAAACTTGTGCCGGGCAATATGAGTTCCTCGTATTTCCCCGACTGTACAATCTCGCCATTATGCATAACCTATCAACAATTGAGGTCCATATTGTAAACCACCAACGGGCATAGTCTAAAACTTATCATGAAATAGAGATGCAATATATTCGCCACAAGCAAAGGTGATAAAATTCTTACCAATATAAGATCAGCTTGGGGTAGGAATTCCATCTGGTGGGTCACGTAGATCAATGTTTTATTCCGTAATGCTCTCATTACATATTCCTGCAATGGCTCATTTTCCGGTTAGTGCAAAGTTTTGGCATCCTCAATGTCGCCGTTCAGGAGACGTAACAGCAGCCAAACAATACTTACATGCAAGGCGAAGAGCAGAGTAACTTCCAGCATTTCTAAGCTCCAGAGAGAATTCAGGTATGTACATTGAAAAGATAAGTTCCTGTGTGCGCATCCACAGCACTGAAAGGGTCATCCAACAGATAGATATCTGCATCCTGGTACAAAGCCCGTGCGAGCTGGACACGTTGCTTTTGACCACCACTCAAGTTGATGCCTCGTTCACCAATCTCAGTTTGATCTCCGTAAGCAAAAAGCTCCAGATCCTTCTTCAGCGCACATGCCAACAAAACTGCCTCGTACTTTAGCCGGTCCATGTCACTGCCAAAGAGAATGTTCTGTTCGATTGTACCACTTTGAATCCATGCTGATTGGGCTACATACGCAATGCTTCCTGCTACTTTCACCTGCCAAACAAAAGATGGAGGTCTCTTATCCTTACACTAGAGCAAGACGAAGTGATATATGCAACATTCAAACTGGTTCGATCTGCGATGAAAATGCGTATGGACTCGAAAACCTAAATATATTTGTAGGGTATTCAATATTTACGCATCCTCCATGATATGAAACGACGAGGTGCAAGTTTGAAGATCCTCACCATTCCAGAGACGACTGGAATCTCTCCCAGAATGCAAGAAATTAGGCTTGTTTTCCCAGAGCCCACCATTCCACAAATGGCGACCCTTGACCCTGCCCTCACTTGCAGGTTCACATTTGTGAGGGTATAGGGTACAACATCTGGGTTCCAATTGAAGTTCCCCGATTTGATACTTATGGCGAGAGCATTCTCACTTGCGGCTTTGGGCACTCGCTCTACTGCATCCGTTGCCAATTCTTCCTCATGCAGAAACTTCCATAATCGATCCAGGGACACCTGAAAACCACACAGAAGTGTAGATAAAAAAATCGTTGTCTACTTCTTAGCTAGACAAGAAACTAAATCTATTACGCAATGTTTATAATAAAAAAAGATCAGCCTTATGCATAAAGGAAATCCAAGCGATTCTTTAGATGTCACACCTTTGTTTGAGTAAGGTTGGAGATGAACTCTGGAAAACTATCCAAAGGATCCTGCAGAATTCTGAATGTTGCAAGTGCTGTAAGGATCTGTCCAGCTGAGAGAGGAATTTTCATGATTACACATGTGGCAAATGTGGCAGTCGAGACCAGGACAGGCGCTGTCCAGAAGAGATAAACCGTACTTGCAGTGGCTACGGCTTTCTTCCATAGCCAGCTCATTTCCTTCACTCGTATGGCTTCTATTTTAGCAAAATATTTCTTGTCCCAGGCTTGCAGTTTGAGGATACGCATGTTGCGTAGAACTTCCGATGTCACTTTCATTCGTTCATCCTTAGCTTCCATGACTTTGCCCTGGTACTTTTCCTGCAATTTTGTGAGAGGGGTGTTGATCAACAAGAGTACGCAAGCCGCAACTAGAGCTGCTGTCCATGCAATGCCGACGACGCGGTGTAACACAAAGAGCGCAAGGGCAATCTGGAGAGGAAGGATCCAGAAATGGTTGATGGACCATGTGAAATCCGCAACTCGTTGCACATCAACTGCCATATAGTTAATTATCTCTGCGCTAGTGTGGACACGGCGGCTCTGACTGGAAAGGCGCAATCCTTTCTCGTAGATGAAAGCGACTAAGGAGGCTTTGATTTTCAACCCCAGAAGCATGGAACCCAAGTACCACTGCCGATTGCTCAGATTTTCTGTCACTTTTGCGAAGAAAAAGATCAGAATAAGAGTATAACCCTGATGGGCGTAACGCTGACGTCCAGCTACGTAATTCACGAAGTCATTGATGAGATAAGGGCCGACATATGTTGCCAGAACGTTGACCATTGCGAAGGCTGCATTCCTGACACCTTCTTTCCACAATGACCGCATCAATGCATGTATTAAAGTTCTTGCGCGGTTCGGATTTCGTATTTTTAGCCAATTCCAACTCTCTTTGAAATCACCATATGCCTTGGTTGCTCGAGACTCCGGTGCAAGCAATTGCAGATCTTTGAGCTCAAGATGCTTCCTATAACCCTCTGCCAACAAAGGATTCAACCACGAGATTGTGGCGAGACTAAAGAACCCTGCGGTTGCATATGGTGTCACGCTTGTCTCTGCTTCGGAGCCCTTTCCATCCAGAAGAGGCTGCTTGTCCTCTAGTTCAGCGTTTCGGTCACGCTTCATTTTCCACTTCAAATCTTTCACTACAGCGAACGGACGAGAGAAGAGTGGTGCAGAGGCAGCATTTAGCCAGTCGCTGAAGCCAATGCAAAGAAACACTAACAATCCTGGGGTGATTCCATTCTTGCAACATAGTTCTCAACTGACCGCCATAAAACATCTCCAATTTATGCTCTAGGGTATCATGGGTGATGGTAGTGTCCCAGGCAAGAAGAGAGCCCGAACGAGTGCGACAGACTGGAGGTGAACAGGCACTTTGAGCCACCACATCAAGCTGCCGATTAGGATATCCCATAACTCACTGCCACCCTGACTGCGGTTTCAATGGGCTGTTTCCTCTCACAAGCTGTCGTTTCTTGACGTTGCCATGTCCAAAAACTGCCCCCAACACGATTGCCAAGTAACGCTTCTTCTGCTACGATGGTGACGCCCAACGTATAAAGACGACCATGCTAACTGTTGAAGTCCACAAAGAAATGGCAAGCGAGTTATCGTACCAAGGGGCTTGGATAACAAAACCATCAAGAAATAGACAAGGTATTCTTCATAATCTCTCTGTGCTCACTGCTAACGCGCCGCTACGTGCAATAGCACAAATCCTTCGATCATGCTGCAGCGCATATTTTCGAAGTTTAAAGACTGCCAACTCTCATCGCAACCATCTTCGTGAAAATTTTGTTGACGCACGTGGGTTTTGGATCGAGCAAGAAGAGGAGGACGAAGTTTCAATACCGATAATAACCCTGCGGTTCTTGATTTGTTTGAAGAAATCAAAGGCCATGCACCAGGTGTTCTCGATGATAAGTCCATATAACAGAAATTAAACAGTCTATTGGACAAAGATTTAGCGTTCAAGTTTGAGATCTTTACAGTGGCAAGGGGTTTCAACTCTACTCCGGGTATTCCCTCACGACTCTACCTTCAGTTACTGTTAGAAAATGACAACTGCGAGAAAATAGCTCCATCTTTGCTTGTTCCATTTTCATTCCATTACTCGCTCGTTCCATTACTAATCCCAAACTCGTCAACAAGCAAAGGGCGAAGACATAACAACAGAGCAGATGGAAACACATGAGGAGATCCGTTTGCACCGTGCCAGAAGGATGTAAGGTGTGACGGAAAGATCATGTGGAGAGTGGCAATAGCATCAGTTATCAACCAGCATCGTGGATCCATTCTTGTTGCACCACATGTTACCCAAGGAGCTCACATGTGAACACTTCAACTTTCACAGGAAACCCTAAATGCGGCCCTTGTATAGTGTGACCCCGAGACTTGAAGCACATACTTTCCACGAATTTGTATGAAACTGGGCATGTTTTTGACCTATCTTGAAGAGAATTCCTAGACCTTTTCAATGACAAATGATTTGCCACCGGGTTTGTTAGCAGTAAAATCTGAGGTTTATCTTCTCTATCATATTACGAATTTTTTGGTGTAATTTTCAATTTAACATTAGGCTTCATATTTGAAACTGCATCCAATAACCGAAATACGTAAGAGCGGTTTAATTCTTTGTTTGCAACGAAGTACAAATTGTGGTTGGTTAAATTGGTAAAGCATGATAATATGAGCTTTTCACCAGAATTCGGAGGTTTAATCTACAACACGCAACTGCAATGAAAATAATCAAGGAGAAACGTCAAGTAATAGACTGGAGATAGCCAAGGATATAGAACGGATGTTGAAGCCATGTCGACAACGGAATCGATACTTACCACTGAGGTTGAATTTCAAGTGAGGGAGACACTCATGCTTCTTTGAGGCAAGATCCTCTAATTTTGTAACAGAAACTGCCTTGCGTGTAGAAATGAGCACGTAGCACAAAACAAACCTTGGGACTCTTTCCCGTCAACACCACACAAAAAATTCGTTTACAACTATCCACACCAAATCTACGCAGTGTAGACCACCAGAAAGCACCTTTCAAATTTTGCCCCTGACAATCCTCATGTTATTATATCATTTCCCGCGGCATAACATGACGATCTTCCTATTTACTTGATTGAACTCGAAGGTTGATCAACGGACTCACAACTATGTTCTGGAGTTACACCGTAGTTAGACGAACACGTTGTGCAATTTTGCAACTCTAAAATATGTTAATAATCAGATGACACCTCCTGCTAAAAGTATCCTTTAAGTGCAAATTTATTCCTCATACTTGTTGACCAGGTTGGATGTATACATGAAAGGAAACTGAAACAAAAAATAAGTAAAATAAATAAATAAATAAATAAATCTCAACTGGTTCTTCCTTGGTACGTTGACACATGAAACAATGCTTTAACCTCCACATTGGTTGAAATCTCAACACTATAAACCATGGCATCATCTTTTCAAAATCCTCACAGGAAAGCATTTCAAAATCCTCACAAGAAATCATTTCAAAATTTCCTTCAACTCGTATGAATAACACTGGATAAAAATTAGTTTTTATGTGCTCCTTGTAGTAATCTGAGCTGTGCAGAAGAGAATTTATACTTGAAAAAAGTGGTTTGCAGTCCATCATTGTCTGTCTAATTAGAAACGCCTGCCTAATGACCGAATTCTTGCAATCCTCTTGAGAGAATCGCCATTCTTGACCTTATAACTAATTACAATTATGCAGACAGCATTTTGACTCAGAGCGTCATGAAACAATTTAAGATTTATCATTGCTTGTGAAGCAATAGGCGAAAACTTTTGAAATTCGCCATCTGCAGGACAATTTCAAAGCACAGCATCAGCCTTAACACAAGATTCCCAAACAAGCTCAGTTCACATCAGTGCGCATTTCCATTAAACCGAAACTACCAGGCACCATAAAATACTTCTGAACTACATTTAAATCCCAACAACGCACACGCAATCAATGCCACATAATACTCCACAAACAACGAGTTCACACAACCTGCTCACTTGCATTCGGTCACTTTCTCTACACCATGAAATTATCCATTGATCTAACAAGCCGGTGTTTCTAAATATTAGATTGGCTGTCGTCCAAGAAACAAATCCAATGAGGCCAAAAGGTGACGGCAAGAACTCACCATATCACCGAGGTCTCTGCACTTCAGTCTTCCTTCCGAACACCTGAACTCGCTCGGATATCCTTCCCCTAAAAGGCTGCGTCAAATTCCGTTGGACCTTTTCATCTCTTTCTGTGTCCTCGTCACCTTCGTCCTCGTTACCCTCTCGATCCTCCTCATCCCCATCGTCCTCGCTATCTTCTTCATCATCGTCCTCGTTACTTTCTTGATCCTCCTCATCCTCATCGTCCTCGTCACACACTTCCTTACCGCAATCTTCACCAATACCATTTGCTTCGGATTCGTCGTCAGCATCTAGTTGGACGCTGTAACCATTCCCCTCGGCGCCACCTCCATCTTAATTTTCTTCATCTTCTGCGTCATCGTCATTTCTTCCGGCATCGTCATCTTCGTCGAATACCACTGGAGCTGCTTTCTTCGAAGCTGCTCTTATGTTCTTTGCAGCCGTGGATCCTTTCGACTCGCCCCGTTTCGATGCGTCAGAACCAACAAAAAAGTGGCGAAAACATTGATTATTGCTCCTCAATGGTCATAGCCATCTACCACATTTGACAATCGTTGGCAAGAGAATGTGAGATCTAATTCCGCTTCCACCACACTGTAAACATACGATCGCCGGCACATTCACAAGCCTACAGTGCACTTAATAAACGACCAAAAATCTAGACATCCACCTTTCCTACTGCAACGGATTGAGAATTGTTTCCACGATGAACACCAGTTAGATTGCCGACAAAAGTTACACATCACGCTTCTTGGCCTTCTTCGCCGATGGACCTGCCGCTCTAGCAGATTTTGCCTTCGCAACTGGCTTCATCACCTTCGCACTCGCATCCCTAATAAACTTCGTAGATTTCTTCGACGTGCTCATGTGACGAACTATCAGGGACTTTCTTCCTGACATGAGCTTCTTTACAGCAGATGGTGCCAGGGCTGCCTTCTTCGTAGATGCTGCTGTCTTTCTCCCAGATACAGCTGCCTGTAAAACGGCTTCCTTCGCTGCCGCCGCATCCGACTTGCCAACAGATTTCAGCTTCGCAGCTTCAATCGCCTTCACTACTAGCTTTCTCGCCTTCGCCTCCCTCACTTGGGACCTTCGCCTTGGCCTCAGCTGCACCTTCCCCAGCGACCTTCGTCTTCCAGCGACCAGCCGCGGCCTTCTTGAAAACCTGAGATCTCCGCACAACCTTCAGAGCCATCGACGAGCTCGAAGCTTTCTCCGCCTTCTCAGGCTTCATCGATTCGTCCGCCAATTTATAAGACCTGTTCGTCTTCAATAGCTTTCCTTCCATTGTCGATTCGCGCAACTGCATGGACAGCTTCTTCTTGAAATTCGAGGGTAGGTGTGTACTGTAGTGATGCTTCAAGTACTTCGCAATGGCATACTGGCTAGACCCGCTCTGCTCCTTCAAAGCGACAATAGCGTCCTTTACCATCTAAAACCAACCAAAATACTTTGGAATCGCAGCAACATGGATGAACCTTAAAGACATGTGACATTGAGACCTACCATCAAGTCCGCACAAACGACGTGCTCCTGACCATGTCTGTTAACTTTTTTCTACAGAATCCCTGACGACAATTAAACAACCCATACGCCTCACGATATCCTACGACACTACCATTAACAATGCTACGCTGTATTGAACATCTCACCACACCTCAAAGAACAGATGATTAGCTAGCAGTGTAGATAATTGAAGCTTACCTCTAAGTATGAAGGATGCGAACCAAGTGGCTTCGGAGCATTGAGAACCTTGGCATTTTTCACCTTAAACTCACTCCTTCTATTCTCTTTCGGCACCCCAGTCTTGGTGTCTTTCGTCTAGTTACCTTTCCTCTCCTTCGTCGACGTAGTAGAAATCTCCTCTGCAGCAGGAGCAGGGTTAACCGCTGGGGCGGGATCGGGGTCAAGCATTGCAATTTCAAGTCAGCACTCCTTCACTTAACACAAAACTAAAAATAAATAAAAAAATAAAAAGTCCTGTAGCTCCAAATCCTTAAACTCCACTTCAATAAACCAAATCCAATTCGCAGTCACACAGTCATGAACAGTCCCGCTATACAAACAGCAAGAAAGCAGCACAGAGTCGATATCTCGAGGAGGATAAACAGCGCTAAACAGCAATGCAACACAAAAGTCGGAGAACATAGACAACAAGAACGTAAAAGTGAAAATGGACAGTCTCCAATCAACTTTCTACCTCCGCCCCCGCCCCCGCCCCCGCTTTCACATATTTGAATTGCCCGAGGAATTTCTTCATCAAATTCTGAGAATCTTGTCCGAATGAAGATGAGCTGTCCGTTCCCGGCACTGTAGAACAGTAGTATTCTTTGGTTCTCAAGGAGTGGGAACGGATGGGGAACGGGAAATCGAACGTGCGAGTGTCCTGTGAAAAAGATATTTGTGGAGGTCAAAGTCGTGGCATCTAGGGTAGACTTAGACCACTAACTGAACCGTAAGAGAATGTCGGGCCGGGTCATGCGGGCAACTGCCCACCCACCCTTCATTGAGATACTCCACCCGCGCCCTATCTTCAGGGAGTTCGACCTTGTGTTGCCCCCATAGAAAAAGAGAATCAGCAGCTTGTGTATGTAGAGCCTACCTCAATGCACAAATTTTCTTAATTGAAATTCAATTCTATGGTTCTGCAGAAGCACTTAAAATAGAGATTCAACCATTGTGTGGAATACATATTTGAATAAATAATCGTATCAAAAATAAATAAATAAAATCATCACAACTACTCAGTATTAGGTGACATTTGCTTTCAGCACGCAAAATTAGTTGATTTTTATTTTTATTTTTAAAAGTATCAAATATTATTCCCAAGCTGAAGAAAAAAGGGAAAAATAAAATGAAAAAAGAAAAAAGAAAAACAACTTTTAAGTGGTGTAGATGATCTTCAATACTGGACAGATTGTTAACCATTAATTTTGGTCCAATCGTGACTTCAGAAATTCTAAAACTTAGGCCTAGTTCTCCACAGAATCTGAAAGAAATATGAAGAATAATAATAGTAGTACAAAACACAAAAATGTTAAGTTTTTTAAACATAATACGTAATGAATTTAAAGTATGGTGTCTTATGTATATGATGACCAAATATTTCATAATTGAATTTCCAGTCAATCAAACACATCTTCAAATACAATGTTTCGCATATGTTATTATTCCATGTTCTTGACCTTGTATGCAATAGAATGAGTTTAAATTATGGTCATGATGTCAGCTTCGTGTGAGAATGAAAAGTTCACTCGATTGGAATGCTCTCTCATATCGGTCAGTTAACGTTGGATATAATAGATTTGAAAACCAGAAAACGTTTTCTTTTAAAACAGAGTCTGTATCTCAAAAGGATAGAACGTTACAGTAACTGCATGAGTCAAAATACCAGAAGGAACTTCGCTGGACGTAGCTTAAGACTTTATGGAAGATTGATACATACCACAGAAGTAGCAGAAAAGTGGAGGGCACTCATCGCATGATATACAAATATTGACCTAATTACAAGTACGCAACTACGAAACTGTTGAGGCAGTTCACCTCGTTGAGTAGTGGAGCTTCATGTTAGAGGTTGCTATCAAGTTTGTAAACGAGGTGTAAGAATGATGTCGATAAGTGAAAAGCACATCCTTTCATTCCACAAGTCTCGGATTCGTCGCCTCATCGTCAGAATCAGTGTATTCCTCTCCTTCAAGGGGCGCTGGAGGCCAAGAGAGGCCGACAACCGTGGTAGCTTTCAATTGTGGCGATTGAGCCAATTTTGGCGGTTGAACGATTCTTGGTTGTGCCATCACAGGTCTTGACTTCAAATACTTCAGATTCCAGATCCTCTGGGTCTCCTCTTTGATCGTTCCGTTGGCTATGCTGGTGTCTTCCAATTGCTTCGATAATTCTGTGAATTCTGTAACTCCTTTCGATTCACCGGGTACCTTGATCTTTTCTTCCTCAGTATCTGCAACAACGGCATCCGCTGTTTCAGCAGATTCTTTTTCTTCGTGCCAATCAGCAAATGATAAGAGTTTTTCGGGATTTCTTTCATCTCGCAAATCTGTACTGGACCTGGTGATTCTCTCCCCTACGAGCTCTGAGTCAGCCAACATAGAGTTCTTTGAAGTACTGGGCACGATCTCATTCACATCGTTCGACTCCATCTGTGTACAGACAACCTCCCGTTCCATCGACTCATCAGCCTTTCCACAGGAAGAAAATGCTTCAAGCTCAAGAATGAGGTTCTCGTATACAGGTCCGACACGGTCCAGAATTGAACCAGGCTTTTCACTCGCAAGACTCTGTTCTGTTTCAACTGTTGATGCCTTACGCTCATCAACTGAATCCATCTCCACCTCGATTGGTTCATCTGGCAAAACAACATCAACTGATACCTCCTGACTCCATTTTTTATCCAACGTCGGATCCGTCTCCGGTACTTGAGCAACTCCTGCATATTCTTCACTGTGATTCAGGGAAAGGAATGGATGATCGACAGCGTCAACCTTCTTCAAGAGATCCGACTTGGCATCTTGCTTTTCTGAATCCTCTGAGTGCACATCAACAGACGCTTCTTTACTTCTACTGAATTTACGCTCAATTCTTGGGCTTCTGGCAGAAGTTTCGTAACATGTTCCATCTTCAGCAGATGGGCTCGTTTGGTTATCAGCTGCTCCAGAAACCGTGCTCTCCTGTAGAAGCCGTCTTATTTGGACATCCTCCGCTTCCTCTGGACTTTCTATGGTATGAACCCCTAACTCCAAGCTTCTGTTCGTAATTGGCTCTACTACACCAATTTCTTTAACGGATCTCGTATCCATCACCAAGGCTTCGGAGTTCAAAATTGCTTGGGGCAGCTCTTCGGTTGAGGAATTTGCCGGAGCTTGAGAAAACTCATATTTTGACGGGGATGCGTCAACCTTTTCTAATTGAGACACCTCAACCACAGCTGAAGATTTCAGCACCTCCGGCTTCTCATCCACAGCTTCTTTAATTGAAATAGTCTCAGTTACAGGTAAAGATTTCTCCGACACTGAAGCTTGGGGGTCAGCGATTGTGACATCCTCAGCCACTGGAGTTGCAAAACCCTCAACAAAATCTTTGGTCACCAATGAAGACTCGTCATCATTTTCTTCATTTGTGGTTTGAGGCAGTGAAACTCGGTTTATTTTACCCTCGATCTCCCGCTCAAGGCATTTAAAGTTAGCACTCTCTGAAGAGGCAACCTCCTGCTCAATTCCGACCGTTGCGGTCTCTGTCTTCAAAAGATTTCCAGTTGAAGCTTCATCCACTGGAACGGAGACCTTGACTGGAATAGTATCCTCTCCAAATGCACACTCTTCAACTGAGCGGGCCTTCTTAACCACATCCTCCTCACTAACGGAGCTCTCTTCTTCACTTTCAGATCTATCTTCCTCGCTACAGGAACTGTCTTCACTCTCAGAGCTATCCTCATCGCTGTCGTCGCTATTCTCCTCGCTGTCCTCACCATCACTATCCTTGTCGCTGTCCTCAATATCTACACTATCGTTCTCACTAGCAGAACTATCCTCGCTTACGTCACTATCCTCTTCACTATCCATCTCACTGTCCTCACTGCTCTCACTATCCTCCGTAACATCCATCTCAACAACACGGGCAGGGGCCGAAGCCAATGCATCCTTCTCACTTGATATTAGTCCTGACAGAGGTTCTGGTACAGGTTCTGATACGGCCAAAGAGATCTCAACCTCCCTCTTCTCTAAAACCGGAGTCTCCCCAGTAATAACTTGGGAAGCAGAGTCTACCTCCTTGTTCTCCTCAATAAGGGGATCGACAATTAGTGCCTTAACTAGTGGCTCTCCAGACTCTTCTGTAAGGGATTGACCCACAGGAGGATCCTCATATATATTAGGCTTCGTAACGAGAGCTTCAGCTATTAATTCCTTAAACGCCTCTACTACCACTGGGGCTTTTGCATCCTTGCTATTGTCAACTAAGGGTTGTTCAACTGGAGCAACTGCCTTCACTAGGGTAGTCTCGGGATTCACATGTAGAAGATTCTCTTCAACAACAGGGATTTCAGGCTTAAATTCAGAGACAGCCTTGGCCTCTTCAGTCAATACCAGTGACTCCTTGCTTTTTGATATAGGCTCTGCTATGAACTCTACTGTGGTCAAAGGAAGCCCTACCTCCCTCTCCTGCAGAAAAGGAGCGATTCCAGCAACAGCATCAGGAGTAGTCGGTGCCTCCTTGATGTCTTCAACCAGGGGCTCTGGAGTAGGTGACCCAACTACTGGTGCTGCAGCCTCCTGAATTTCAACCTCAATTGCTTGGGTTTCCTCAATTATAGCCTTCTGAACGAAGACTTCAGTCATTGGGGCCTCAATATTCTTCTCTTCCGCTTCTGGTGACTTCAGCTCCTCAAAGTCTTCAACCGAGACTTTCACGAGTGGCGCAGCATCCTTCACAAGTAGAAACTTCTCCTGAAAATATAGGGCTTCAGAATTGAGCGCATGGTTAGGTTTAGCTTCTTTCACATCTATGCTGTTCCGTGATATGCTCAAGGGAAGCTCAACATCCTTGTCCTGCACAAGGGAATTCTGTACTCCAGCTTCTGTCTCATTGATCACCTCCAGCATGGGGATGGCTGTGTCGTGGCCTAATTGAGCTTCCGCCTCCTCGATCTCGGATGATAAGACCTTCTCGGTCTCTCGACCTAATGAGTCTTTGAAGGTTTCTTCAGCATCTGAGTAATTCTCTACCTTTATCTGATGGGGTACAGACAAAGGTGCTTCTATGCTCTTCGCTTCGTTCATCACGGTCATGACATCTTCTTCCTCCGCATCTGTGAAGGCTTTGGATTCTAAACCACAGCTTTTGACGTTAACACTTGCTGACACTTCGTCCTTGACAGTTTCTAAGACTTGGTGAGTAGCAGATCCTGAACTATTAGCTGATTCACTCATCAAATCCTGTATAAAGGATCTCCAGCTGTTTGATATGGAGCTCTGTTCAATAAATTGAGGCTCCATTTCATTGCTTTGATTATTTTGCGTCTCTTGATGTGCTGTATCAACATAAAAATTTAGTGGTTTACCCGCTATGTCATCTGAAATTTGCAATGGCGCTTCGGGAAATGGTGATGCCTCCTCATCCCCCTGAAAGGGTATATCTGGTTTCAAAATTTCCTGGGAAATCTCGTTCGCGGCCGCGAACGCTGAATCTTTAGTAATTGCTGAATTGATATTGTCTGCTTCAGATTCGTTAACCAATTCCTTCGCTTCCTTCGTTACCACATTGTTACCAAGAATTGTAGACCTGGGATCCACAACTGGTGTCTCAGCTACTGCTGCTTCATTAATAAGATATGGTGCGACTTCCTTCTCTTCTGATAATGGCAGAGCTGCATCCACCTCGTCTTCTTTTTCCACTACAACCTCCTCTGTAGATTTTCCGCTTTCAATGTCACTGAAAGCATTGTTTGTCTCCTTGAGCATTGCAGGAACAGATACAAGACCCTCTCCAATCACGGGGAGATTATCATCTTTGGCACGGGAAAATAAACCCTGGTTGGCAGCTGCCGTGGATCCGCTTTCCATAATTGTGGTGTCCACTTTTGGCGAAGGCAAATCCATTCCGTGTTTTTCCTCAACAAAGGTCCCCGTTCTGACTGTGTCAACGCTCATAGTTGTTCCAAGCACATGAGCTTCTTCCCTCTCTGGCTCCTTCAAGTGCTCAGAAGTTGGTACACTCCATTTACTTTCATTCTGACTTCTACAAAGCAGCGACGCATCATCACTCTCTCTATCTCGATCAGGTAAGAATGAGGGTTCCGAAGTGGATGAATAAATGAATGCATGCATCTGAGACTGAGATTCTTCTTTAAGCATCAGAAGAGTGGCAGCTGCTTCTGGGGTCTCGTCCACAATTTGCACTCTATTCTCCTGAGATTCTTCAGGTTCTCCTCTTTTCCCTTTCTTCACATCCGACAGATTTAGGCCCGAATCTGCAGTCTTATTAGCAACATGTATAACTTCCGCCCCTGGACTAGATCTGACTGTAGAGATGGGTACAGTAGTGGCCAATAACTTGTCTTTCATACACGGTACGCTTCTATTAGTCGAATGCGTTGGGCTAGCTTCCTTATCAAACGAAACGTCCACTGCACACCTCTCAACATCAGGTTTTTCCATAGCAGTAATCACAAGAGAGTCCGCTTCTTCAGGATCTATGCTAACTTGTTTCCGTATGTAACGAATTCTTTCTTGTGATCGCACAGTTGGAAAATTTTGACCAGGATTACATGCGAGAGAAAATTTCGGCTCTTCTTCGACACTAATATCTGCTTCAACAACACGTAAAGGTTTTGCCTTAACGTGTATAATGGATTTCTTAGCTGCCAGCAGGCCCTTGATATTATAGTAGCAGAACCTTAGTTCTCGAGTGGGTGCAGTGGCTTGTCCAGACTCAGATGTAGAAGCCTCTTGAGATGCTGCAACACCAGAAAGTAGTTGATCGAAGAAAACGTTCGTATCAATGTCATCGTCTTCATCCTTCAATGACGTTGAAAGCGGGTGTAGTATCCCCTTACCCTGCAGAAAATTCATGTTTTGATTTCAATGTGCGTTTCAAACTATGCTGATTACCAGAGTAATGACAGAAGACTTCCTGTCTTTGGACATCAATCCGAGCTCTTATGGTACATGTCAGTTGCAAAGAGTTATTAATAAGAACCTCAACCGTAAGATTCTCAAATTTCTGACTGAAACGAGAACTACGTGTAGCTGCCACGGGACCTGGACAATAGAAAACTAAGGTTCACAGTGGAAAGCAGATGTTGAAATCAATGACATAGTTATTTGCTGATGAGAAAAAGTATAAATATAATGTTAGCCAATTGCTTACATATTCTTACGCATTCGTAGCTACTTTTATGGTGATTTTACGACATGAATGTGGTTCAAACAGATCGAGATATATATATATATATATATATATATATATATATATATATATAGTGTGTGTGTGTGTGTGTATAGAAGTGGAACAGAATGTACCTTGGAAAATGCAGAGACTCCAGTGATGATGGGGGCACTGGATGCCTTGGGTGGTGGAATTACCCTGGTAGCTGGGAAAGATCCAGAATACTGTTCTCGACTCAATCTGAGGCCTCCACCTTTTCCCATTCTAAGTTCACCTTCTAATAGTATAAGAAGGACGTCGAAGCCGGTTTCTGCAGGTTCATTGAGATAGATTAATCGCTGGCAAATGGAAATCGATGACTAATTGATGAATTCAAACACTCCATGGATTAAAAAAAATAGCAGAAACTGATAGTCATCTGTGAACAGCAGTAGTCCTGTAAACAATTCGTCAGACTTCACAAGTTAGCATGGATACAACATTGAATGTCATTTGACCTTTATCTCTTAACGCTAGAGATTGTAACTGCAAGCGAAATAATAGATTTCCCAGCTCTAGACGCGCAGGAGACAAACTCTATTTTCTCCTGCATTACTAGGGATTCTTCGACTTCGAGAATGGTTCGCATTAATAATGACGATGGAACAAGCAGTAGACATGTGTGGGAATAATAAAACTCCAATCTCTACAACTATACAACTCATCATACGAAAAGCAACGGCATACTCAAGGGTCAGGTAAAAGAAGTTATTATCACCTGGATGTGAAGTTGAGAAGAAATATTTACTCAAAGCAGAGGCAAAGTTGAGCTAATGTTACTGTGCTTCACACAACTAAGTAAGATGTTGACTGTAAGTAGGTAAACGACAGTATACAAACACCAAGTACCGAATCGACGTATAATGCGTATGAATTTAAAAGATGCAAAGAAAAAATCTCAAACCCCTGTTCATACGTCGCCTACTTGGGGAATTACAAGATGTTCCAATAAGAAGTCTTCCATAAAGACTTCTAAATTTCTCATTAATCGACCAAATATCCTACAGTCGGAAAGAGATCATGGCAATTGAGAATTGGTGATCCTTCCTCTGTCACAACTACGTAAATCAGAAGAGGGTGACCCGTAATGACGGCGCAATCTGTGAGCCGATTCTAGCCTGCCGTGCGATTGAAGAACAGGTCTTCTAGGTGGAACTAGAAGACACTGAAGAAAACAGGGAAAAATATAACTAGATAAAAATCTTACGTTCATCCGTAGTGCCTCATAATCTTCCTATCGTTTGAAAATCGCGAAAAATATCAGAGGATATGCAGCCACAAAGCATTACAAAAGCCACAACGATCGTATGTTATCATAAGGATAAATGACGGACGCAATCGTCTGAATCCACACAAAAGCTCAAAGCGCAGAGACAAAATACTGCACCTCAACGATCCTCTTTTCAACCAACGAAAAATTGCTCACATCGCTGATAACAAGGAATTGCTTCGGGTGCTGCAATGTCAACTCTTGGGCGACAGTGGAAATATTGTGCGTAATCGTGGATCCCTGGGCCTCAATCAGCGATGGTCACGTCTAGACGATGGTGCAGCGGGTCAAGAAACGACTCTGGGAAGAAAAATGGAGTCACACAGCCCTACGGAACTCCTTACATCAAAACAACCTAGCCGAAAGCTCCATTTGCTGGGATTGTGGAGGGGAGAGAGATAGAGGAAGCGCGCTCAGGGATCGAGGAAGACGGAATCAGCCTCACATGTGACCAATTCCAGTGCGACACGGTCATTGAAGCTGTAAACTAAGTTTGAAACTGCGTACCAAATCTTTGAAGCAGCCCACGTCTTGGCTGTCTCTGTGTCGGCCCTCCTTGAGTCCACATCTGGTCCCACAATTACAGAATGGCTATGGAAGCATACATTCATGCTTCCAGAATAAGCCAATTATCTGACAGGTAATGTACACCAATCCGAATCCACGGCTTGCAAGATGAATCTCAACTCAGATAATCAGGGAAAATTTGAAAGTCGAGGATCACTTCCCCCACGCTTCGACTCATTTTCTCGCTTGCATGTTCGATTGTTACCCTCCACTCTGGATGGCGATCAGACGTTCGAAAACGCAACATAATGCAGCTGCCGCACCACGCCATTGACAAAGTCTCTGACCGCAGTAACTTCTTCTTCGTCGGTTTGCACATTGGTGATGCTCATTCATTGATAACTCTATCGCACAGTACTTGGGAAGCGAGACGTGAATTATACATCTATTATTGGCATGTACCCTACCATTTCCAAATCGTTTCCTTGTGCGGGACACTACTCTTTCACTTCGATTACGTTAATCTACTACATCAAACAAACGCCAACTTGGTATAGTAGCTCCCTTCAGTGTGGAAGAACCAAGTACGCTCCTCGTCTTCTGTACAAGACATCCTCTCAGTTAAAGGCAACCCATCTGACCAAGGACTATCACTTCCATCTCGTGGCCGGTGAGAAGCCGAGACCAAGTCAGTTAAGGCCGAGAGTTGGGATAAGGTGAACACAGAATGAGATTCGATGTGCCCAATCTTATTCTATGTGGTCGGCGTGGCATGTAGCGCATGACATGAACTGATGAAGTGATACCACCCACAAGGTAAGGAGGCTGACAAAGGACTTAACCCTACTACACAAGAGGCAGTGAATTGGTACTCTGGCTATTTCGAGCAGGTACTTTTTGAGTTACAACTAACACTGATCTTAAAAATTCTGACATCATGTGGTTATGAAGAATGAATTCGAACCATTGAAATCCTTTACGGTGTCTCCACTTATGACCATTTGGTAAAAAGTTCGGGGTATTTTCTGTATAATTTTCGAATCTCTGAGCATACATTAACCCTAATATTGAGATGTGTCAAATCTTGCTTGAACATTGTGTGAGAACGATAAGTGAACTTCAGCTCCAACTTTAGAACGTTTAGAACCCCATTAATAGCCACAGTCCAACGAAATGTAGAACTTGGTCCTTAACATCCAAATATGAGAGATTGACATTTTCCGAAACCATAAAATAGTGCACAGTAGCTTTCCAATACTTTGAATACCGTTTTCACTTGTTGAAAGAGTAATATACTCTCACAGTTTCTTTCTCATTGGATGCTTGACCTCCGTCTACCTAATCACAAGGAAAGCATTGAAGTTGTAGGACCCAGAATAATGCCATGCCAGCTCCTAAATGCCTCGTCTCGAGGCCTTTTCTTCTTTCCTCAGACTCGAAGACAGATGTGTTCATTCATTAAAAGCACGAGATCTTCGAAGCCCTGTCCTATTTCATATTGCTTGTATGTCCCAGTGTTCTTTCTCTATTAACAACTCATCGAAGAACCAAGCTTGTAAAGTTTTTAGATGATCAAATGGTGTTACCGAGCGATGAGAGCTCTTTTCTGGTGGCATGTTTCTATTCAGTTAAAACAAAGCTCTGAATTCTGAAGTTTGAAATCGACACCCCCCTTCGTACAGAAGTATCGAAACTTCCGAGATGTAACTTACGCTTATCTGAGGTCGTTTGCAGAACCCTAATTGTTCCTTTGAGTTACGGTCTTATGAAAAAACTATCATGCTGCAACTGCGGTATCTGGGGAGCAACAAGGAACTGACTTGATAAACCAAATATAGAGTCAACATCCTCCGCGTCTAAATTGACTTGCGTGTAATATCACTGTTCACTCTTGCTTTCAGGTCTGTCGGGGCTGCTTCTTTTTAATTCAAGTGATAAATTCCTTCGTTTTGAACAAATAAATAAATTGTGCATCCCTTCATACAATCAAGTCAAAAAGAATGTCCATCCAGGTTCCAAATAATCTCAATAGCAAAAGGAAGGCACGACAACGTAATGCCACCTCAAATAAATTCCTCAACGTGGTTTGTAGTCTGTTTCACGAGCTGCAGAGTTCTGTCCAACAAGTCATCATCGCAACTTCAACACAAAACATGCACTCGAGAAAGCGAAAATTATCACCGTAAAAGTACAAATGAGCGTAGACGAGGGTCTTTGCTAGTAATGTATTAGACGCATGCAGAAGTTAAAAACGCAGACATACAAGATCAAAATATGACACCAAAAGACTTCATCACTTATATTCTTCTTTTAGTAGGTCAAGACTGAAAGTTGGGTATACGATAACCATGTAACACAGCAAATAGAATGAGTTACAAGCTACCAGTATCAGTGACAAAATCAGTGACTTGACTAGATCGATGTTTTGTCTTAGGAATGTACCCACTGAAATGATACCATGCCAGAGCAAGTAGACTAACAGAGGACATTAACTCAGCGTGACTTCAAAACATGGAAACTAGGCTAAACTCATCTCCTAGGTTTACATAGATAACTCAGCATAATCAACAGTAAGGCTCGAAAGAAGAATCCGGACAAGAAACACGAGATTTGAAATGAAACCAACGACTCCTTGAGAAAGGAAATCACTTCTGATAATATTTTACAACTACCAATCGTCATCAAATATACATGCTTCTACCACTGAAAAACTGATCAAGAATACACAAATCCAAATCGACTATTCTGATTGTTCGATGTACCAGGTATTTATTGCCCCCTCACTCTTAAGCCTGAAAGAACCATTAGGACTGCAGAGCCCTGCACTGCTTCTAAAAAAGTACAGCGTCCCAAAAAATCAGTATTCGACTCTTTTCGAGATACTTCACGTCTTCATTCCTTTAACTGTTTTCAGGTAAAGATGAGGCACTCTGGTATTCGCAAAACCACTTGATTGAAATCTCTTTGCGCAATTGACTACCTTTTTGTCACCATGCTGCCGCTCGTACTTCTAGAAGATGATGAGGATGAAGATGATGATGAACCATCTTGCATACGAGGTCTCTTGTTCTTTTCCATTCCCCTCTCTGCCATTTTGTGCTCATCAACCTTCGATTTCGGAAAGGAATCCTGAAGTATATCCTTCAATTCTGCGAGATGCCTCTTTTTCATGAGCTTCTCCTCAATATTTCCCTCATCGTTAGGTTCAACGTAGTCATCATCCAGAACATACTTGTCAATGACTGCCGAGTAGCATGGAAAGTATCTGCGTCCCATTTCGACTGCAAATTTTACACGACGAAGTAAGTGAAACAAAGAAGATGTAAATAACATAGCAAAGGTCCAAGTTTTAGCAGAACCTTTTAAGTCTAGAATAAGTGGTAAATATTCACTCCAAATATAGCATCTCGTTCACAGCTCTACTCCATATGAGGAACACGACGTATTCGAAAGAGAAAGCTACTTCGTTACACTCCGTGTTATCCACCAAATTCGACAGCAGGCTTAAAAAAGACTCTCCAAAGCCTAAAACAAAAGGTGAAATAATTAATATGAGAGGGAAATCACTCACCAGCTTTCCGTAGAGCATCACACCTCTGACGTAAAGATTCCAACCGACCTTCCTTAGATTGATCTTCGGCACCAGCAACCAAATTTGCGAGTCTCTTGGATGGCTCTTCGTTAAGGTCCACAGCCGGTTTCCTCCTCCTACTTGCTATCCCTGATCCGGGCGGTTTCATATGAACTCCCGTGAATGCAGCGTACGAATCTAAATGAGATATACCCATTACAATATCTGCTTCCCGAGGATACAGCAACCTTCCCAACGCCACTGCAAAAACATAAACGTTATTTGTGCAAAGGTTATTAATAATGAATGAAGGACAATAGCATGGTGGCGTTATCCTGAGAACTATGAAACTTGGGACTTCAACAGCCTCTAGATGTAAATCATTACCTCGATTCTCAAGATAAAGCAACATCGACGTAAGCTCCTTCTCAGTAGATGGCATGGTCAACATAGCTGCTGCAGATTGTGGGACTGTCAAAGTGTGTTTCTTTTCTGCCTGTTCCAGGATAGTGATGCAGAGGCGTTCCTTTTCAGTATCTTCTCTGTCGACATTTGACTTTCTGGACAGACGTCTTAAGATGTCAAGGGCTGATAGGTTATCTGGCGTTAAATCTTTCAGCTGTGCAGACTTGTCCAGAAGATTCCCGATTGCCTGTGGCTCCCTCCTCCAAGCAGCCACGTGAAGAACCGTCATACCCCTTTCGTTGCGTAGTTTTGGATCTGCAGAAAACTGAGTTAATCGTCTACTCCCACAAAAACAAATAAACGCGTAGAAAGAACCATTCTCATCAGGCATGTTGTCTCACAGAGAAATAACCTGTGATGCTATCAGCACGAACCTTGCATTACAAGTACTTTCATTAGATTCCAAAATTGCAGCCACAAGAGATTCTCAGTTGAAAAAAGAAAGAGATCGTTCAACTGTCAATCAATCTACGTCAAATTTTCTCAATATGTCTTACCTGCAAGGTTCAATTCCAGCAGATGAGCCAAAGTCCTAGGATGACAGTATGCTGCAGCATAATGGAGCCCGTGTGCTCCATCAAAATCTAGCTTTTTTTCATCTAGTAACAGACGAACCAATTCTACATCATCCGAGTCCAGTGCTCTGTTCAAAAAAGAAAAGTAATAAATAAATAAAACCAGAATGTTTCCTTATAAAAGCTATTAGGCGCGAAAAGAAAGATATCAGAAGAACAAAGATAAATGTACATACTCATTCTAAAGAAGAAACCAAACGCCTAATTAGGGAGGGAGATAGCGCTGTCAAATATTAGCCCCCGGGATGGCTCTCATCATATCACAGCAGCATGCGTGTGAATGACAATACTTTAAGAATGATCACCTGAAGTTTAAACAATCTAACGTGTTTCCAGGTTTTCACCTAATGCTTGCAGTTAGGTACCAAGCAATGCACTACAGATGTGGGGCGTTAAAGTAGGAACTACAAATCCAGCAACGATCCTCTCTTACAGCTTTTCGCACGTGACAAACTCGGGTATCCACGAATACAGTGCATTTAATTATCAGTAAGTTTCACGATTAAAAAGAAACGACGAAGTATTGCCTGTGAATTCGTTTGCATTGCATTTCCTGTAATGGAGCCAGGTGAGAAATGCCATTTCCAAGCTCCATTCGCATCCTTCTCACTTCTTCCAGAGCTGCTCCAGAAAACTCCTTCTCTACCGTCAAATTATCAAGTTTTGAAGAGGCCAATGTGGTTAAGCACACCGACTGCAACTGAGAGCATTCAATGGCAGAAGCTGATCGATACACATGTAGCATATCTTCCACTTGAAACTTTCCCAACTTATCGATAAGATGTTGCTGCAGAACGTGAAATCCGCATCAATACTCGAAGACACTTTTCAATGTTGACATATACAGAAAAAATTAGAATCTAAAATTTCCATAAATCCAAAATTGCATCATACAATACCAGTTGAATGGAAGAGTCTACGTGCTGGTTATACAATACTAATCTTGACTCTGGTATTGAATTACCTTGTGAAAAATGAACGGTACAATAATATCCATTCAGTTTTCAGAATCATATATTGTGTGGTGTTCACAGAACTGTGAATAAAATTGCTACTCAAACATACCAATTAACCTTCCTGAGACACATGCACCTAGACATAAGATTCAAAGTTCTACCGGTACGTATCGATTGCCGATCAGAGTTATAATTTCCAACATAAAACACATCATGCAATAAAGAGAAGTCGGAAAACACTGCACTGCCTTGAAAACACCGTGGGAGACACGTGATGCAAGAATGAAATTGCTTGATCAGAGGGGGGCATACCTGCGCAAGAGTATTCAATTCAGGTAGATTTAATAAAATAGCAGCGTAGAGGATCTCCAGCACATGGTTGATAGCTGGGCGACATGTCAAATGAGCACAGGAGGAATCATAACAAGCAATAACTACTGGCCAAGGTTCCATCTTTCCACCATACACGTAGCCCATCACAGCCCTAAAAGCTTCGTATCCTATCTTTCCTTTATCGGTAATAGTGTTGAGCTCCAGTTCTAACTTCGATTTCCCATTCCGTACTATCCCTGCCAACACCTTCCGTAAACCTGAGCACCGAGCTGCGAGAATGCATCTGTGAACTGGCACATATTCCCCCTCTACAATGATATTAAGGTCACTGTATTCCTCATCGGGCATCTGAATGAGTGTTTCAAGATCAGAACAGAGTTCCTGGAATGAGGCTGGTGTAACCCCTCCTGGGGTAGTATCGTGCACCGGCAGAGCCAGACTGAGATCCGACATGGCTAGAGTAAAAAACCCCACCAGCTCCTCACGTTAATCTCACTTAATTTATTTCCTCCCTGCCTACAAGGTCATCTTCTTTCATAGAATCAAGGCTCCGCGGAAAACATTCTCCTAAAAACAACAACCTAAGCCGCGAAACCACTAAAAGTAACACAAAACAGCTTCATAGTTCTGCCATGTTTCTTGAATCCCCAGGGTTTACATAACGAGGCACCGGCGAAGCTACTCGTAATCGGTAACGGAATTGTGGATCTCCGGCCGCATTCCAGAGGTAGGTGTCCATCTCATCCTTAACCGAAGCCAATATGACACAACTCGCACAAACACGAGCAGACCGAATCCAATATGCGAACAATCAACAAAATCTAAGCTCTGTGAATAACCGAAACAGTGTGATAAGGAACATCTAGGCTAGGCCGTGCGCAGTCTACGACCCTCCTCACACAAGCCATCATCCCCTAGCACCGTTTTCCACTCGCAAGCCTCGGACAATAGAACGATAGAACCACCCGGGAGTCCCACCCCCAAACAAGGAATTCGAAGCTTCGAATGATCCCTTCCGGAAACTACCTCCACAGACCCCGAATTTTACCATGAGCCTATCGACAATCCCAACTTGCAAGGGTGACCGCCGACAGTTCTACTGGCGATGCTTCTCTCGCTGAAAGACCGATCACGATCGCACATTTGTGCTCACTCCTCGCCACCACGGGAAACACAGGCGCTTGCTTAAATGAGTTAATGGGTTCTCCCCTTAGAACAGGTAAATAAGAAAAGTGAGATTGGGACTCTCTTTTATTGGTCACCTACTGACATCCTTTGTTATCCCAGGGGGTCATTGTTTGTCAGACTTTATTTGGGGTACCGTCTAAACATTTAAAACACGACATTTCCAAAAATCTCAAAGACCTTCGAACTTCCCTCTTCAATACTTTTTTTGTGTGGTGTTGACACTTTGTTGTTGTAATCTAAGAATATATTTGAAAAGTGTAAAAGTATTCATGATGCATCCATGCATATTTATTTATTTATTTATGGCAAGGAGATGAATCTTTGACTTTCAGGTTGTTATTACATGACATTTAGCATTGCAAAATTATAGTGTTTTTAGTATTATCGTGGACTTTTTTTTAATTAAAATACTATTTATAGTAAAACATAAAATAATAGGTTTGAAATTGGTTCCAATTATCAACTTAGTAATAAATTTATTATTTTTTATTACTATTATTCTATTTTTTATTATTTTAATAATATACACTAATTTATTGATTTGGTTAGTATTTGTAATTTCACAACATTTTTCAAACATAAATTATGACTTGCTATTGAATATGATAATGTTTTATTTTTATATTATTAAAGACTAATATAAGATCTAAAAATCCTATATTATAGTTTATATTATAAGAAATTTTGAATATTATAATCTTTATAAATCTTATTTGTGTACAACTTACTATCAATGTCCTTAAAATTATTCTAAATTATTATTAAATGAAATAATCTTAATAGAAGCTCTAATAGAAATATTATACATCAAATGTAATTTAAGATTAAATTTTAATATAGAAAAGCCTTGTACAATTTTTTATTTAAAATCCTTACAATGAGATTGTAGGTACTTTTTTAGTTACAAATTTGTTTATTTTAAATCATAAATTTTATTTTTTAAAGGATTTTATTCTATTTTATTTTATACTTTCAGTTCTTGTTTTGTAATTAGACCATTCTATTGAAAAATATTTAATTTTTGTATAATAAAAAGGCAAAAAATATAGAATATATTTAAAAATATATAATATTATTCAATATAGAATATTAAATATAAATCTTACTTATTAATATTAATTTTTTTATATTATAATATTTTAAATTATATGGAAAAAATACTAATGTCTTATATTTTTAATTTCATATTTTTTAAATATAAAGAAGTTATCAAAACACAATAAAATTTTGAAGTATGATGGCATACTTTTTAGACATCTGTCATGGACATACTTATAATTACTTAGATAATAGGAATAAGTAGAAGTAGATAAAAGTAGGTTAATTTGATAATATCTTATAGAAAAGCTTCTTAGAAGCATCATAGACATGATTTCATCTTTAAACATGTTTGTAAGTGATTGATAGATTAGAAACTTAGCCAATAAGTTAGCCACTTGTTACACATATTGATAGTTTATGGTACAAGCTAACAATGTGGCACACTTATAGAAAACTTGCCTTGTAAGTTAAGACATGTATCTTGCAAATTGGACCCATATTAGAGGTCCTATAGAACATTGCTAACTAGCTCTTAGATAAGTAGTATATCTACTATCTACCTAAATAGTATATATATATTATAAAAAAAAATCATAGATGCTACATTTAATAGAAATGAGAATAGATTTGTAACTATTGCAGATGTTTACAAACTTGTTAACACTCATAGGATGAAAATTTCATATATCACCAATATCAATTATCGAAGCAATATTCCTACTCCCTTGGAAGAAGTCCAAAATCTACACCAATAAGTTGTATAGTTGAAGAAAGCAACTTCATAATCAAATCCAAAAAGCTTTGCTTCTACAAGCACAAAAGAGATAAAGATTAATATGCTTGAAAAGTTTGATGGAACAAAATTAAAATTTCAAGGATTTTTGCAATAAGTTAAGCTCTATCTAAGATTGAATCCTTTCTAATACTTTAATGGATTTATTCAAGTTGGATTCATAGGCACATTTCTATCTAGAAGTGCTCTCTTTAGATTTATATCTTTGATTAAAAAAAAAAAAAAAAAAAAAAAAAAAAAAAAATTCATAACTTTTTTATGATTTGAATTCATTCTTAAAAGTTTTTATAGCTGTATTTGAAAAAAAGGTTCATAAAAGAGTAATAGAAACCAAATTCTTATCTTTATGACAAAGATCACGACCAGCCACTATATATGCTATTGAATATCAAAACCTTACTTGTGATGTGGATTTATCAAAGACACAAACTTAAAGAAGATGCATAAACTTGTGGAATTTGTATCAAAAAGAAAGTGACAAAATGGAAGAAAGTATGTATATTCAAGGAAGAATTGGAATAACTACTGCCAAAGACTAGAAAACATAAGACTCTTGAAACTAGACTAAAAACAAGAAAAGAGGTGACAAGAGTGAAGAGGACTTCACTCTTGTCTCTATATATACTATCTAATTAGAAACTATGTGGCTATGTTCTACAGGACTGCTAATATGTGTTGACTTTATAGGACACATGCCTTGACTTACAAGACAAGTTTTTTTATATATGGGTGACATAGTTAGCTTGGTCTTCAAGCTAAAAATATGTGTAGTACATGATCAACTTATTGACTAAGTTTCTAACCTAAAAAGTCAATTATAGACACCTATAAAATCAAAGTAGTATCTATAAAGCTTCTAAGAAGCTTCTATAGAAGATATTATAGAATTAACTTATTTTTACATACTTCTACTTACTTCTACTCATTTATACAAGTAATTACTAGCTTACATGTATATATCCATGACATTACTTTTCCTTCTAGGGACGAGTTCCACGAAGAGTGATCATCATATGTTGAAAAAATCTATGATGCAACAAATTGTATTTGTCACATACTTAGATCTTTGTTCTCTTTGAAGATAGTTGATAGAGCCTCTCAACCATTGATAGTGTCCCATACCAAGGCGAGAAGACCACCCTATTATTTGATTGTTGTTGAGGCCTTCATAACTTGTTTTAAATAAAACATTTGGAACACCGTCATGAGTTGTTCCTACCGCTTATAAAATTATCGAACATTGGAAGTCTCTTCAAAGGTTGTGATATCAAACGCATTGTATCTTGCCATCTATTTGAGAAAAAATATGTCGTTCTTAAGGATCTTCATCTTAATTGCGTCGTCTTGAAGGTTGTGACAATTGCAATGTCTTTTCTAGCAGGTTAGTAAATGAAGGCTCCTAAGTTGAATCTACTCGCTGTTGATTTTCCATCTCCTTAGTATCACAAATATACAAGAACTACAAACAAGTATAGAAGATAGAAATTTATCTTACCTAAATCTTGTTTCTTTTATAAGAAAGTCTTCTATCTCAAATCAAGGAATTCTTCCACCTCAAATTCTTCATTATTATCTAATTCTATAAGAAGAGGTGGCACTTGTCTTCTTCTCGATATGTTCACGTTCTTATATGGTTCAAAAAAAGACACGTGGAATATAGAAAGAATCTTCATTTACTCTAGTAAGTGTAATCGATATACAATTGGATTAACTTGTTCAGAAATAAGAAAAGATTCAAATCAATGATAGTCCAATTTATCAAAAAGATGAGTAGTCTTCATATTGCGATGAAGTAACTATACCTTAGTACCTACGTTTAATTATACTTGTTCCTTTCAATAGACATCCACATTGATCTTTTGTCGTTCTTGAGCTTCTTTTAATTGTGCCTTCATTGTTGCATATAGCTTTGACAAATGATTTGCCAAATCTCATGCCATAGGATTTTTATCTTTTGAAAAGTCAAAAGTATCAAGTCATAGATGATAACCATAATTAGCAAAGAAAGATATTTGTTTTGTAGAAGAATGTACCATGTTATTATAAGCAAATTCTGCCAATGGAAAAAGAGTTGTTCAATCATCTGATTGGTAGTTGATGGTATATCTTAAAAACTGCTCCAAAACTTGATAAACACACTCTGTTTGTCCATCAATTTGAAGATGGAATGCCAAAAATAGTTTGATATCTACTTTCAAAATCTTAAAAAGAGTCCATAAAAATCTTGATACAAACTGAGTTCCCCTATCCGATATAATATCCTTGGGTAATCTATGATAACAATAGGTGTTGTCAAGAAAGAGTTTAGCTATTTCTTCACTTGTGATATATTTTGTACATATTACAAAATGTGCCATGTTGATAAAACGATCTACTATTATAAATATGGAGTCAAAAAAACCTGAGATTGGAAGATCCGTGATAAAATCCGTAGAAATAGTAGACTATGGTTGTTTTCGAATGGATAATGGTTGAAGAAGTCCATAAGGTCGATGTCAAGGATATTTTGATCTTGAATAAATGTCACATGAATGAACAAAGACTTTTACACCCTTTCATATTTGTAGCCACCAAAAATCTTTAGATATAAGCTCCAAAGTCTTGTTGTATCCAAAATTCCGTGCTGTTGAAAAGTCGTGAAGTGCTTGAAGAACACGTAATTGTGCTTTTCATTTTGGAATATATAATCGACCTTCAAAATAGAGTAGGTTGTATTTGAACTCAAACTTAGAAGTATCTTGCAATTTAGAAGAAGGATTCTTGATATTATGAACAAGAGGATCAGAAAACATACCTGATTGGATTTGTTTTTTAAGGATTGAATCAATAATGAATATTGATTTCATTATTCAAAGATGAAAATGATCTGGCTTCAAGAGAATCATTCTTTGCTAATCAAAAGATACATTTTCTTCTTTTGGTATAAGATATGAATGTTTAGAAAGGACATCAGATAAACCTTGTTCTTATCTTGACTAATAAAAGATATTGAATTCAAATCTTTACAAAGACATGCTCCAACAAGCCTGGCGATGCTTCAAAATATGTAATGACATAAAATACTTAAGGTTCTTATGATCCGTACATAAGGTGACTGGACTTGAAGCACCTTCTAAATAATGATGCTATTTTTAAAAAGAATCCATAATTGTAAGAAGTTCCTTATTGTGGATTTCATAATTAATCTTGGCTG